TAATGGCCATACCCCATTAGCTTTGTTGTGAATCAGATTCCAATGACAATACATTACATGTAGCTGTACATTGAAATGACTCTGTTATGTCATGATTGAAAGAAGTGGAGATACAGGGTTTCACTTCATACACATTACAATTTAATGTCATATGCATCAAAATTAATAATAATAGATGCAAATACTTATTTGTGTATGATAATGTCCTGTGAGGCTATTTGAATAATTGAATTGATCAAAATTGTCAACTGTATGTAACCTGTCAGTGACATTTTTATTCTGGTAGAACTATACTCAAAGGTCAGCATGTTTGTGCATTGTACCCCCACAATGTAACACTGTGAGTCCCCAGGATTCTAAAATAGACAGATCCAGGTAAATTCCTGGATGATATTGTCAAAGAGTATCTGTTCCTCAGGGATAGAAACTAACAGTTTTCGTCCACTAGTCCTTATAATGATAACATGTAGCAAAACCCCGAAAAATGGCAAATTTCTACAAGTCCTTATGATACCTTTACCATTGGGCAGTTTGGTAAGGACTATAGGACTAGTGCCAATTTCTAACGCTGGTTCCTGGGGTGAAATTGTTCCTTTGTAGTATTTTTCTCTAGGTGAATTATTCCCATGGAACAGATTTTACTAGGAATATTTATTCGATGGTACATTTATACTGGCAATATGTACCAAATGGAACTAGTTCCTTGTTGAACAGATCATCATTCACAATATCAGTTCTTGGTGGGTAACATCTTTAACTGGGGACACATGGTGGCTTAAGTCCTACTCAGCCCTTGTCTTGCTTCTCCGGAGGTGTCTTTTCCACCGAAATGTTTATATGTAGATTTATGCTGTAAGTCCTTTTGAATGTTTCGTGTTGATTTCATTCTCATGAGTCACAGATATACCGGCTAAAAATACTGTACTACTCCAGAGAAGAATAATAATCTCTATTTACTATACCTCCCAACTAACAGGGTGGGGGTATATAGTTATACCAAGGAATTCCATCCTTTTGCCTTCTTGGAACATTTTTGTGTGTGCGACCTATAACTTGAAAACTACTACATAGATTCTTTTCAACTTGGTGAACACTTTTTATTTATATATAGGAGATGTGCAGTGTGAAGTTTTTTTCCAATGTTTTCTAAAAAAATACAGCTATTTTTCATTTTTAACCTTTTTTTAACAAAAACTAGAAAACTTCTTCGTGGAATCTTTTTAAACTTAAGGAAACACTAATAGAAGAGGTGGTGTGCCAAATTTAATTTTGAAATGTGTATTTTCTGAAAGAATTTTTTTTTTTTCATGTTTCAACTAAGAATAATTTTTTCCTTTAACATTTGTGCGACCTATTACTTAGAAACTACTTTGTGGATTCATTGCCAAATGGGGGTACAGTTTCTATATCAATAGGGAAGGTGCAGTGCAAAGTTTAAATTCGATAGGTGGATTTTCTGAGAAAATATTCCTTTTTTATGTTTTGAACTTAGAAATATGTTGGGAGCCGAAGTTGGGGGTATTAGTGAGCCCTTCTCACTTTTGTCTTGTTTATGGGGAAATAGAAGAAAGTATCTTGTGTATTTATATGCATAGGTAGCAACTTCTTTTATTCTTTGGCATGATGTTTCAGAGCTACTTTACCTCTGAAACGTCGTGACAAAGAATAAAAGAAGTTGTTAATCATACATTGTATCATGTATAAGGTATGAACATTGTGAGAAAGCTTCTCATTTAAATCCACAGTTAACTAAACTTAAAAACCATAAAAAATGTCTACATGTAGCAAACTGTGCATCCTTGTGCATCCTTGTGCATTCTTGCAGCCACGTCAATAACTATCCAGCTACAGTTAAAGGGCAAGTTCACACGGAAATTAACCTATTTTTCTTGTACTTTTTCCACATTAAAGGTGTTAACCTAGAAGTGTCATAGACAAAAATATAAAAATATCACAATTAATTAACATATTTTTCGCATTAAAACGATTTATATTTTTCACATTTACCAAGTGTTCTATTTCCACAACAAAAACACCATGGCTTATGCCCCTTGCAATATGACGTCATTGGTGCCAATTGATAAACATTATGACGTCATCATGCTTTGTTAGAGCCGCTTCACGTGGTGTAGGTCTAGGTGTGTGATTCTAGCGTCTCAGATGCCAGCCAGCATAGTGTTATGCTGAGTCACCACTGCGCCGGAGTGTGTCGTAGGCCATGTTGTTTTACCGCAAACTGGTACTTGATATCTTTTGCGTTGAGAATAAGCAGGGACCCAGTTGAATTGGCACCAATTACGTCATAATCTAAGGGGGATAACTCAGGCCTGTTTAGCTCGAAAAACGAAGGCCTCATAACGGCATATCATTTTCACACTATTGTGAGCTTCCTACTTTCACTGTGAAAAAAATGAGTGTATATTTTCAAACACAGATACTAATTAATTCTAAAATTGCGTTTTGTTTAGAAAAAGAAAGAAAGTGATTTTTGCGTGTACACTTCCCCTTTAAGCAGTAGCATAGGCAGTGTTCCCGCTGGCTTTTGAAACTCTTAAAATTACCAGTCCCCCAAAATTTTAATCAGTCCGAACTTTCAACAACAACAACAACAAAAAATAGGAAAATTACCAGGTTCTAATTCTGTCAACATCATGTTGAACGCAATGACGTCATCTCTGAAGTAGCTTAGTAAAATTTAAACGTCATTCACAAAATGTTCAGTAACAATTTTCGCTTCTTCTTTTTTAATATTTCGAGTCTGAGTCGCAACAAATATATATTTAACCTTGAAGCAAAGCAAAATGTTATTTCCTTGCACTAAAAATAGACATGGGGAAACCCTGATGGTAACAGACAAGCTGACTTCTTTCGAAAAATATACTAACATGAATATCGCTGATGTTTTGTTCAACAACAAAGATTTATAAGGTACTCTATTTGCCGGTCCACAGGGACTGGCAGCCACATGAATTACCTGTCCAAACCTAATTTTACAGGTAAACGGGAACACTGATAGGATCAATCTGGCACTGTGGATGAGACTCTTTTATGTCCTCTTCATTGATTAATGTAATTCCAGGTCCTTCTGTGCTGTTATACAGCCGCATCTATCAGTATGGGGAACTATAGCATTACATGTATATGCTTATTGTAAGAGGCGACTAATGGAATCGGGTTGTCAGACTCGCTGACATGGTTGATGCACGTCATCGTATCCCAATTGCGCAGGTCGATGCTCATGATATGAATCACTGGATTGTCTGGTCTGGACTCAATTATTTACAGAACGCAGATAGATAGATAGATAGATAGATAGATAGATAGATAGATAGATAGATAGATAGATAGAAAGATAGTCTCGATTATTTACAGAACGCCGATAGATAGATAGATAGATAGATAGATAGATAGATAGATTTCTTCAGTGTCGGAAATCTACTGTAGCTCTTGAACAGCTGCGGTCATCATGGATTCTGAATATAGTTACTTTGTTAGATATCAAAAAGGAGAAGCTCTTTAATATCTGTTTAACAATGTTAAATTTAACTCACCCACTCTCCTTTGCCAGAACAGATAAAGCTGTAATGATATTATAAGAACAATTTTTTCATGATAATGATATCATGTTGATATCCTTATCTGACACATTATAACATGTATGACAATAATGAGGTCACTATCCTGCACATGTTTCGTTATACTTAATATGTTTGACAATAATGAGGTCTCTATCCTGCACGTTACACTTAACACGTTTGACAATAATGAGATCACTATGCCGCACACATTTCGTTATACTTAATATGTTTGACAATAATGAGGTCTCTATCCTGCACGTTACACTTAATATGTTTGACAATAATGAGATCTCTATCCTGCACGTTACACTTAACACGTTTGACAATAATGAGATCACTATGCCGCACACATTTCGTTACACTTCAAATGTATGACAATAATGAGGTCGCTATCCTGAACGTTTTGTTATGCTTAACATGTATGACAATAATGAGGTCACTATCTTGCATGTTACACTTAATATGTTTGACAATAATGAGGTCACTATCCTGCAGGTTACACTTAATAAATATGACAATAACGAGGTCTCTATCCTGGCTCGCTGACGTGGTTGATGCATGTCATCGTATCCCAAATGCTTGGATTGATGTTCATGATGTCAATCACTGGATTGACTGGTCCAGACTCGATTATTTACAGACCTCCGTCATATAGCTGGAATATTGCTGAGTGCAGCGTTAAACAACAAACAAAACAAACAAACGAACACTATCCCCGCATGTTATGTTATACTTAGTATGTATGGCAATAATGAGATTACTATCCTGCTTGTTACGTTATGCTTTATATGTCTGTGAATAATGAGGTTACTATCCCGTACACGTTATGTTACACTTAATTAACTTCTTTGAGTGGCATTTAGAAGTTGATGAAGTGATGAAGTAAGACGAGAGTTCTATGGATGAACAACTTCTTTATTACAATTAATGCGACGTTTCGGTGTAGATCCTAACACCTTTATCAAGCAAGTGATGGATAGGGCTAAACTACATAGGTATATATACACTTATTGACATCTAAGTTGTTACAGTGACTAGTTGATGGACACAGAGAGGTGATTAAGCTAATTGGAAGCCAGTGGATGACTAATAAACACAGAGTATACAAGCAGAGTAGACAAGCAGACTGATAGAGATGATGGAAGCCACTGTATTAATTGGATGGACAAAGGGATTTGGCAATTAGGTGATGGTAAGCAGGCGGGATGTAATAGCCTTGATCTCTGTTCATTGCTGGCTGGATCCTTTTGATGTAGATGGCTTCTAGGAGTTTCCTGATTTTGTAGTCTGATTGGTTGTTCCACTGGATGTTGTGATCGGGATGGGTTTGGGTGTGGTCGGAGATGGCTGATTTTGAGTCATTTTTTTTAACTGAGGTCTTGTGTTCTTTTATTCTAATGGGTAGGGGCCTGGATGTTTCCTCTACATACGAGTCGCCACAGTCACAAACGGGGCTGTCTGTTGTGGTGGAGGCCGCTCTCTAGGGCTGAGGATGCTGTTGATTGTTTGTTCAACTAGGCTGGTAGGGTAATCGTTGAAGTTAGTGAATACATGCTGGAGGTGGTTGAGTTCAGTTTTTAGCTGTTGTGGCGTGGAACAGATGTTGACAGCACATCGGGCTAAGGTGGCGATGATTCCTCTCTTGATTTGTGGTGGGTGGTTAGAGGAATTGTGCAGATACTGGTCCGTGTGGGTGGGTTTACGGTAGACACTGGTGTGTAGTTTGTTATCGGGATCTTTCTGTACTCTTACATCTAGGAATGGTAGTTGTCTCTCAGCTTCTGACTCAAAATCAGCCATCTCCGACCACACCCAAACCCACCCCGATCACAACATCCAGTGGAACAACATCAAGATCCTGGCCAACAACCAATCAGACTACAAAATCAGGAAACTCCTAGAAGCCATCTACATCAAAAGGATCCAGCCAGCAATGAACAGAGACCAAGGCTATTACATCCCGCCTGCTTACCATCACCTAATTGCTAAATCCCTTTGTCCATCCAATTAATACAGTGGCTTCCATCATCTCTATCAGTCTGCTTGTTTACTCTGCTTGTATACTCTGTGTTTATTAGTCATCCACTGGCTTCCAATTAGCTTAATCACCTCTCTGTGTCCATCAACTAGTCACTGTAACAACTTAGATGTCAATAAGTGTATATATACCTATGTAGTTTAGCCCTATCCATCACTTGCTTGATTAAGGTGTTAGTATCTACACCGAAACGTCGCACTAATTGTAATAAAGAAGTTGTTCATCCATAGAACTCTCGTCTTACTACACTTAATTAGTATGACAATAATGAGGTCACTTTCCTGCACATGATATGGAATGAAACAAAGGTATATTCATTAAAAATTAAAGTACAATCAATCTCAACATGATGATAAGCAGTTCAATAATGTACATTAATCACATTTTGTATTACTTGTAGGTGCATGTCTTGCCACTCAGTGCAACTATGGACCACAATGTGACCGACCCTGTCCCCGGGGGTGCCAGCCACGCCTCCCAGGAGGCAGGACTCCTGACGCCCCCAACTCTACACTCCCCACCATTGCAAGTCCATTTCCCTCAACTTCAGAACAAGATGTTCCTGTCAGACGTCTCCACCCTGTCACTGGTGTCACCAAAGCTGACCCAGGTCCTATTGCAAGCTTCCAAGAGGCCAATTCTACTTACCCACCCACCCCTGCTAACCCAATCACTGTCATCCCTCCATGTCATCCTGAAACAGGCGAATGTCTCAATGGCTGTGTCAGGGGAAAACATGGAAGCATGTGCCAGCACGCATGCAGTTTGAACTGTTCAGAACTTGACTGTCTTCAGACAGGAGAGTGTGTCAGTGGATGTGTACATAGAGTCTGTGGAGAGGACTGCAACTTGCTCTGTAGCAGCAACTGCATGTATCAGGACTGCCACCAGAATGGAACATGCGCCCATGGCTGCATTGATGGTTTTTACGGAGACTCTTGTGACTCAAGATGTGGCAAGAACTGCCTCAACGACCGCTGCAGACAGAATTCCTCAACAGGAACATTTTTCTGTCTGGATGGCTGCGTGGAAGGGTGGAGAGGTTTGATGTGTCAACACAGGTGCCCTGTACATTGTCTCTCCTGTCATCCCGACATTGAAAGAGGATCCTGTTCCTCCTGTGAGCAAGGCTGGAGTGGCATCAACTGCAAGATACCCATTGTCAACCAATGTAAGGCTCCAAAGGAGGAAGAGAGGTGTACCTCTGGTTGCCATGACGGATTCCACGGTCTGACCTGTCAGCTCAAGTGTCCAGACTTCTGTCTGCGATGTGAGCAGGATGGTGATGAATGCACGATGTGTCATCCTGGGAGATACGGTTCAAGATGTGACAAATTCTGCAAAGACTGTCAGCAAGCGCTGTGTCAGATTGACACTGGGGAATGTGTTCATGAAGCCAAGCAAGAGGAGTCGGATGTATGCCATCAACACGCATATATGCATGGTAAGTACATGTTAAATCAATCTAATTAAAATCAGATCTTAGTTCCTGCTACCGCTAAACAAAGATCTGAAGACATCCCATTAGGGGTCACGTCAGAACGACCTTTGATCTGACCAATCAGTGTGTCACTTACCAGATTATGAAAGTGACAGTCTGAATGTGATTTCTTATCATGCAATCTCGAAAACTATAACATGGGGTATTCCGATCGATAGATACGGGTTTAACGACTGAATCCTTACAATCTAGACCATCTATTAGCCATTACAGAATGTTTTTTGTTCAGGTTTCAAATTTGTAATCGAGAATTGGTCAAAGTATGTTTCGAAGCGTAGTCGCTAATTTGAAATTTGTGCCGTAAAGCACGAGAAAGCTGCCTTCTGATTGGTCATTCCATTGGTCGGTCAAATTTCGCGCAAGGTCGGTCTGAAGTGACCCATAATGGGATGTCCTCAGATCTTTGTTTAGCGGTAGCGAGAACTTAGATCTGATTTTAATAAGATTGATGTTAAATGGATGAAAAAGGATTCAGCCAGTATCCAGTGTCAAACCATTATGATGACGTCCAACTATTGTTGTTGCAGTTGATTCTGAGCCAGGGCCCACTTGCGCAAAACGATCTTAACGCTAAGACTATTGTAAGCTTATGTTAAAGCACGGGAATTAAGGTCATCTTAGGGCTAAAATCTCTTGTGCAAGTGAGCCCTGGTATTCACTGGCCATTCAGGTCATTCTAGTCATTCTAGTGACCTGCAGAGTCATGCTGCAAAAGATATTGAGAAATTATATATCTACCATTTGTCTGAGAAATCATTTGAAACTGTCAATTCAGGAAGTAGAATCAAGTCACCCCTTCTCAGTGTAGCAGGGGGCGTGGAGTCATCCCACAGATGACATCCTTACCTTGTCAGCTTGCTTCTGTTGACGGGGGAGAATGTAGCAGGAGGCGTGGAGTCATCCCACAGATGACATCCTTACCTTGTCAGCTTGCTGACGGGGTTAACCTCTTTGGTCATGTGGACAAGGCGTCCAACCTTGGATCAGAAAGTCCATGGTTTGAATCCCATCACAGGACTCGGAAATTTTATGGCTGCTACATTGGTGCCCAACGTGGGGCTGAGCACGTTCATATTAAATTGGAGCAAAATAAGCCTCAGTGCCCTACTATGCGGCCCGGGGCGTGCCTTCTGTTGACGGGGGAGTATGTAGCAGAGGGCGTGGAGTCATCCCACAGATGACATCCTTACCTTGTCAGCTTGCTGACGGGGTTAACCTCTTTGGTCATGTGGACAAGGCGTCCGACCTCGGATCAGGTCCGTGGTTCGAATCCCATCACGGGACTTGGAAATTTTATGGCCGCTACATCAGCTCAAAGATTTTACTTCTGGAGGGAAGAGATTCGTGGGATTTCTTGATTACAGAGTTGACCATAAAAATATCTGTATTATATTTTATGTTGGGATCTAGGTATTCAGCATTGAAATTAAGCATGGATCTCAAGGTGAACTTCATCCTAATGCTAAAGATGAAAGGTTCAGGCTTAAAAAAATAAAATTGGTTCTCAGGCAATGACTTTTGAAAATAAAGTGCGGTGGGCATTTGTGTTTTTGTTTGTTTTGGTTATTCAAACTATTATGTAACCAAATAAACAGTTCTGTAACCAAATAAACAGTATTGTACAATCAACATGGGAAAGGGCCTCCCTATATAAATGTATTCCTTTATGAGTAAAATACTGGAATACTGTATTTGACTAGCTTTGGCCTTGGAATATTTGAGGATGTTTTTAGTTTTTTAAAAATGGAAATAAAAACGAAATGTGTGGCAAACTTTATGATGATGCGGGTGGCGCCTGAGAACCAGGATTATTTTGTTTTTTAGCCTTAAGTAGTCCCCAGATTCAAATACTACAACAGCCAACTTCAAGGAACCCAGGGTCCTCTGCAATGTCTGACACTTGTATTGAAATGACTACTATAACTCTGTCTAAACCAAACTCTGAGAGACATTTTAGGTTGTTCAAGACTGCCACTTGCCGAGACTGATCTGAGCAAGGATTATGTCCCACAGTGATGGTCATAAAATTAACATATACTGGTAGCCATGGTAACACAAATGTAAGCAGTGTTCCCGCTGGCTTTTGAAACTGCCAGTAATTGTGGACGGGCAACTCTAAAAATGACCAGTCCCCTCTAATTTTTGCAAGTCCCAACTTCAACGAATAAAAAAAGGTATGAAAATTATTTGGTTTTAATTCTTTGAACATCATGTTCAGTGCAAAGATGTCATCTCTGAAGTAACTTAATTAGATCTAAACGTCATTCACACAAATTTCTCTCCTTTTTTAATATTTCGAGACAAGTTTGCTAAACAGTGGTAACAGACAAGCTGACTTTGTTTGAAAAATTTACTTAAAAGAATATCACCGATGTTTAGTTCAACAACAAAGATTTATAAGGTACTCTATTTGACGGTCCACTGGGACTGGCAGTCACATGAATTACCGGTCCACGCCTAAGTTTACCGGTAAAAAACTGGTAATTACCTGTAAACGGGAACGCTGTCTAAGTTTATCAAATGACTGGAGATATCTGTGGTAGACTAAATTCAGTTTATAGCTATGGCGTATGAAAACATAGTAAAGAGGTAGAAAGTTAGTAAGCATGGTAAGCTAGCCAAATTTGATAAAAAAAACAAAAAAAACATAATCACACGATTATGATTAACCTAACTCTAGATAAGTAGATGTTTGTTCATGTTTTTGGTTGTGTCAATAAAATACATGCCTTCCATTGATTGTTTAGATTTCAACTCTTCCCACTGTGCCAAGCATCACAGACAAAAACGACATATTGTTGAGTGCAGAGTCCATTGCCAGTCCAGTTCATGTTCTTTGTGCGACCTTGGCTGGTTTGGTGGGAGGTGCACTGAGTTCTGTCCCCACAACTGCCACAATGGTTGCAACAAGACAGGAGCCTGTGATGGATGCCGACCAAACTATTATGGAGACAAATGTGACCTGGAGTGCCCCCCGAACTGTAGAGACAGCAGCCCTGGTGAAGTTGTATGTGACCAACAACTGGGACACTGTATGGCTGGATGTCACACTGGTTGGTATGGAGACCTGTGTAACATGACCTGCCCTCTCAACTGTGAAAGAAACATTTGTAGTCAACATGATGGCAAATGTACAAATGGTTGCAAGCTAGGTTGGAAGTGGAACAGTCATCTGAACATGTGCTTACCGGTGTCCTTCACCTTATTAAAGAATGTCCAACCCAAACATCAACCTTCTCCCTGCAGAGATCAGACATATGGGGAGAGATGTGAAATAACCTGTTCCACATTTTGCATTAATTCATCCTGCAAATTCAGTTCAGAAAGAAACAGTCCTGTCTGTTCATTGGGATGTGTGGAAGGCTTTTTTGGTCCATATTGTCAAAACCGGTGTCCAGCTGCTTGTCGGGCATGTTCTGATAAATCTGTCTGCTCCAGCTGCAAGTCTGGATTTTATGGAACATCATGTTTGGAAACTTGTAGCTCTGACTGCAAAGGATGCTGGTGTTATAAGAATGGCACCTGTGCCAAAGGCTGTATTGAAGGATATCATGGGCAGACCTGTGAGATTCCATGTGAAGCAAATTGTCAGAGCTGTGACCAGATGTCAGGAAGGTGTTTGACCTGCAGATCTGGGTGGTGTGGGCTGAACTGTGACCAGTTTTGTGGTGGATGTAAACTGGGCATCTGTGCTGAAGATGGACAGGGTCCTCTGGGCTGTAATCCAGGTTATGGAGGCAGAAAGTGCAATGAATCCTTGTATGAAAGTAAGTTCGACTTAAGGGACAGACTATTTGATATTCTGTTGGGGCCTCGGGCCTGTTTTCACAAAGCAATCATAGCGGCACGATTGTCGTAACTACTATAGTTGAACATGGACTTTCAACAGTCGCAGCGCTAAGATTGCTTTGTGAAATGGGGCCCTGGGCCCACTTGCACAAAGCAATTTTAGCGCTACAACTATTGTAAGCCTATGTTAAAGTGACGATCATCTTAGTGCTAAGATCACTTTGTGAAATGGGGTCCTGGAACTACATTATTTTACTGTTTCTGCTTCAATATATACAACAGTTTTTCTCTGAAAGGATAAGCCGAGCAACTTTCTTTTTCACAACACATTTTTTGGCAGGATACCCAGCATATCCAGTAACAATGTCATGTGGTCTTTGTAAAGCCTGATATTCATTGTGTTTTAGTATGTCCAGAATAGCCAATACTCAGTCCCAAAGGTCCTGACACATTCTCGTTTGTTTTGTTTGTTTGTTGTTTAACGCTGCACTCAGCAATATTCAAGCTATATGATGGCGTTTTTTAAATAATCAAGTCTGGACCAGACAATCCAGTAATTGACATCAAGAGCCTCGATCCACGCAATTGAGATTGATGACATGCATCAACCAAGTCAGCGAGTCTGACCACCCGATCCCTTAAGTCACCTCTTACAACAAGCATAGTCACCTTTTACATACCTATTTAAGATCTTCATGGGTCTGACACATTCTCATACGCACTTGGATGGTCTTCTCAATAACAGAACTATTCGGGGCTTGAAGTTTTGGGTCAAATCTCATGGTACTTGGTTCCTTTATTTTCTCGGCGACATTGATCATGCAAATACTGATTCTTTTCCACTGAGAACAAACAATCCGGTATTTCTCCACATGTTGAGGCATCCTTTGGGTGCACAGAAAATTCTTTGATCTCCTTGCTTCATCATGTTCATGGTACTGTTTTTGCGGGCAAGTACTGAGAAAATGGCGATTTTTACTCTGCAACCAAAAATTAGAAAGATGTGGCCTTGTTAACATCTTTTTTGCTTTTAACTGAAATTTCTTGAAATGCTGTGGGGGTGAGTGACATAGAAGGATGTTAAGTCAGTTAATTTACATGACTGAACTTTGCCTTTGTAAATTTTATGTTGAACATGTTGAGAATGCAGCAACTGTGGTAATGAACAATGTCTACAAGTATACTTAGAATAAGTGAATGTATAAGAATTGTTGATTAACTATATAATTTCAGATGAACAGCTATGCTTCAAATTCAAGAATGCACAAAACCGAAAGAAAAGACATGCTTGCCAATACGGATGCCTGACTAGTGAATGTACAAAATGTCTTGACGGTTTCTACGGTGACATCTGTAGCAAGCGGTGTCCGATTAATTGTGAGAGTACCTGTACGAAAACCAGTGGGCTGTGTGATCATTCCTGTAAGAGAAACTGGGGGCCAATTTGTGAACATAAGTGTCCATTGAACTGTCAAGAAGGATGTGACAAGTCATCAGGACACTGCTATGGTGGATGCAAGAGTGGATGGTATGGACAGAACTGTAGCCAGAAGTGTCCTGATAACTGCTTCTCAAACATCTGTAACCAAGATACAGGCAAATGCATGCAAGGTTGCACCAATGGTTGGCAGGGGCCTCTGTGCAATATGCCATGTTCGGAGGGATGTGTGAATCAAACCTGTTTTCAAGATGGAACATGTAAACATGGTTGTTATTCAAACTACACTGGGTCTTTTGGAAAATGTTCCATTCCATGCATGGAGACATGTGTAGGTAATGAATGTACCATATCGAAACCGTTGCGTGCATACATCTGTACCCATGGCTGCGAAGATGGGTTTGCAGGACCTTCCTGCAATATGAAATGTTCTAGAAATTGTGTTACATGTGAACAGTTTAATGTCTCAAGGTGCAAGGATTGTTCCTGCGTCTCCTACGGCTCTGAATGCCAGTACCGTTGCAGTGAGACATGCAACAACTCTTCCTGCCCAGTGTGTGACAAGCAGGGATCCTGTCTGCATGGCTGTGCTGATGGGACCTGGGGTCAGCAGTGCAAGAACAGATGTAGCAGCAACTGTATTGCTTGTCGTAGTGGGAAGGAAGAATGTACAAGATGCCAGAAAGGACTCTATGGAAAGAAGTGCAATAAGAATTGCAGTGGCTGTCAGGATGGGGACTGTGAGCAGAATGGGAAGTGTATCAGTGGCTGTGTGCGTGGCTTCAAGGGGCCAGCTTGTGACATTGTCAAGTATGTGTCAGGTAAGCTGTAATGGGAAGTGTATCAGTGGCTGTGTGCATGCCTTCAAGGGGCCAGCATGTGACATTGTCAAGCATGTGTCAGGTAAGCTGTAATGGGAAGTGTATCAGTGGCTGTGTGCATGGCTTCAAGGGGCCAGCTTGTGACATTGTCAAGCATGTGTCAGGTAAGCTAGTGGGAAGTGTATCAGTGGCTCTGTGTGTGGCTTCAAGGGGCCAGCGTGTGACATTGTCAAGCATGTGTCAGGTAAGCTAGTGGGAAGTGTATCAGTGGCTCTGTGTGTGGCTTCCAGGGGCCAGCGTGTGACATTGTCAAGCATGTGTCAGGTAAGCTAGTGGGAAGTGTATCAGTGGCTGTGTGCGTGGCTTCAAGGGGCCAGTGTGTGACATTGTCAAGCATGTGTCAGGTAAGCTAGTGGGAAGTGTATCAGTGGCTGTGTGCGTTGCTTCAAGGGGCCAGCGTGTGACATTGTCAAGCATGTGTCAGGTAAGCTAGTGGGAAGTGTATCAGTGGCTGTGTGCGTGGCTTCCAGGGGTCAACGTGTGACATTGTTAAGCATGTGTCAGGTAAGCTGTATTGGGAAGTGTATCAGTGGCTGTGTGCGTGGCTTCAAGGGGCCAGCGTGTGACCTTGTCAAGCATGTGTCAGGTAAGCTGTATTGGGAAGTGTATCAGTGGCTGTGTGCATAGCTTCCAGGGGCCAATGTGTGACATTGTCAAGCATGTGTCAGGTAAACTGTATTGGGAAGTGTATCAGTGGCTGTGTGTGTAGCTTCAAGGGCCAGCGTGTGACATCGTCAAGCATGTGTCAGGTAAGCTAGTGGGAAGTGTATCAGTGGCTGTGTGCGTGGCTTCAAGGGGCCAACGTGTGACATTGTCAAGCATGTATCAGGTAAGCTAGTGGGAAGTGTATCAGTGGCTCTGTGTGTGGCTTCAAGGGGCCAGCGTGTGACATTGTCAAGCATGTATCAGGTAAGCTGTAATGTGAAGTGTATCAGTGGCTCTGTGTGTGGCTTCAAGGGGCAACGTGTGACATTGTCAAACATGTGTCAGGTAAGCTAGTGGGAAGTGTATCAGTGGCTGTGTGCGTGGCTTCAAGGGGCCAGCATGTGACATTGTCAAGCATGTGTCAGGTAAGCTGTAATGGGAAGTGTATCAGTGGCTGTGTGCGTGGCTTCAAGGGGCCAACGTGTGACATTGTCAAGCATGTATCAGGTAAGCTGTAATGGGAAGTGTATCAGTGGCTCTGTGTGTGGCTTCAAGGGGCAACGTGTGACATTGTCAAACATGTGTCAGGTAAGCTAGTGGGAAGTGTATCAGTGGCTGTGTGCGTGGCTTCAAGGGGCCAGCGTGTGACATTGTCAAGCATGTGTCAGGTAAGCTGTAATGGGAAGTGTATCAGTGGCTGTGTGCATGCTTTCAAGGGCCTGCGTGTGACATTGTCAAGCATGTGTCAGGTAAGCTGTAATGGGAAGTGTATCAGTGGCTGTGTGCATGCTTTCAAGGGCCTGCGTGTGACATTGTCAAGCATGTGTCAGGTAAGCTGTATTGGGAAGTGTATCAGTGGCTCTGTGCGTGGCTTCAAGGGGCCAGCGTGTGACATTGTCAAGCATGTGTCAGGTAGGCTGTAATGGGAAGTGTATCAGTGGCTGTGTGCATGCTTTCAAGGGCCTGCGTGTGACATTGTCAAGCATGTGTCAGGTAAGCTGTAATGGGAAGTGTATCAGTGGCTGTGTGCATGCTTTCAAGGGCCTGCGTGTGACATTGTCAAGCATGTGTCAGGTAAGCTGTATTGGGAAGTGTATCAGTGGCTCTGTGCGTGGCTTCAAGGGGCCAGCGTGTGACATTGTCAAGCATGTGTCAGGTAGGCTGTAATGGGAAGTGTATCAGTGGCTGTGTGCGTGGCTTCCAGGGGCCAGCGTGTGACATTGTCAAGCATGTGTCAGGTAGGCTGTAATGGGAAGTGTATCAGTGGCTCTGTGTGTGGCTTCAAGGGACCAGCGTGTGACATTGTCAAGCATGTGTCAGGTAAGCTGTAATGGGAAGTGTATCAGTGGCTGTGTGCATGCCTTAAAGGGGCCAGCATGTGACATTGTCAAGCATGTGTCAGGTAGGCTGTATTGGGAAGTGTATCAGTGGCTGTGTGCGTGGCTTCCAGGGGCCAGTGTGTGACATTGTCAAGCATGTGTCAGGTAAGCTGTAATGGGAAGTGTATCAGTGGCTGTGTGCGTGGCTTCCAGGGGCCAGTGTGTGACATTGTCAAGCATGTGTCAGGTAAGCTGTATTGGGAAGTGTATCAGTGGCTGTGTGCGTGGCTTCCAGGGGCCAGTGTGTGACATTGTCAAGCATGTGTCAGGTAAGCTGTAATGGGAAGTGTATCAGTGGCTGTGTGCGTGGCTTCCAGGGGCCAGTGTGTGACATTGTCAAGCATGTGTCAGGTAAGCTGTAATGGGAAGTGTATCAGTGGCTGTGTGCGTGGCTTCAAGGCTGGACAAACGCTGCTAGTTTTCCAAAATGTGCAACAATTGGGATACAAGTAGAAAATGTTAATATGGTTTAGATTTATGTGTAGGATAAAGCACGTCCAAGGGTTTTCCTGATATTTAAAACCTGCGTTAGGGATAAAACAGAGGGGCCTCAAGGAAAAAGAAACTTAAAACAATATCAATATTTTTATGTTTCAAAAATACTTTCCATGAACCTCAGGAAACCGGCATAAAATATCTGTTGCTGGCGTACAGTACTTGAAAAATACATTCTTAAAAGTATGGTGATTAATCAGCGCCTCTGTTTCCTAGTAGTACACTCACAGGGCCATAGATAAGAAAGATGCATGAAAGGCAGTATTGATTATATTTGTAACAACATAACAGTGATCAGGTAAGCTGTAATGGGAAGTGTATCAGTGGCTGTGTGCGTGGCTTCAAGGGGCCAGCGAGTGTCGTCAACATAGTAAGATATGAACACTCTGATAATGTTCCATTTATTACCGGAGATGTTTACATACAGAGACAAATTTTAGTGTTTACCTATAAAGACAGCAAGTCGTAAAAGCAACGAAACCACAATTTGTCAAATGGCGTCAACAATCTTCAGCTATGATGTCATTTCTAGTGTGACATTATTCTGCCCTCACGTCACGATAAGATTTGAATGACATCAACAATGCCATCCAGATGACGGAAACAATACACTGTTGTCTCGTGACGTGATATGACCCTTGGGCACATATGATTTTTATAAACCCTGATGTTTTTCCCCTCGTAGGGAATAAAGGATGTATTATGAAGTATGTTTGTGCAACACTTTTCAGATTAATTTGTATTAATATTCATTTCTTCACTTACAGAATGGACAGCAGGGAAGGTTGTTTTCGCAATTATTGTTCTCGCTGCAGCAGTAATATATTTCTCCTTGTAAGTATGAGATGTTGAACTGTTTCACTTTGAAGGTCATTTGTGCTTATTGTCAAAAAGTTAAGGCCACACAATATTAATCATATGTTTCACGGATTTATTCCAGCTTGGCCAATCAAGGTCATTATTTATTTATTTATTTATTTATTTATTTATTTTTTTATTTATTTGCTTCTTATTAAGGGTGGCTGGCCAGTAAAATGCAAACTAAAAAAATGTGTGGCCTTAACCAGGGCAAGAGTAGTTGGTTAGTACGAGACTTGTAAAAATCGAGAGATTTCTCCCCAAAACTAGCTATTTACATAAGGCACCAGACCAAAATGACCTGCAGACCAGTTGGATTTGACCAATGGTGTCTACACTTGTAAATGGATGCTAGGCTCATTCACAACCAAATGTTTTCCCATAGACTTCTATAGTTACGTTATATTTTTTAGCAAAATAACTAAGCATTCAACAGCTATTACCTGTACGTGTGTGCACAGTTTGGCCTTAGAGCAAAAAAAAAAAAATTACTAGCTTAGCCAGCTCCTTTTCCGAGTACAGGAAGCTAGACACACCACCCCAAGTTTCGCACCAAATGTCACCTACTTGAAAATAGCTGTGGTCACATTCAGCATAAGTCATCATGTTGAAAAAGACAGTACTAAATATAGAAAAACATGGCCAGTTTTAATAACTGGATGGATGTACATTTTAAAGACATAAAATCTTTCACAATATCCTCCAATCACAGCCTGCAGATATCTCTCGATCTGCACTGAAGGCTCCCTACCAAAACTCCCTACGAAAACTGCACTGTCCCAACTGGTTCTGATTTGGGTTAATAGAACCTGCCCCCATCTTCCCGAGCCAAGTAAGTTAACTGACTATAAAAGTCCAGTTTCCATCTTTGCCGAACTAGACTGGTATTATGGAGTTACATTTTGGCTGGGCTAACGTGTCTATGCATAGTCCAATCAAAATCTCGCACTGAAATCGAAATCCGGTTCGTCATGCAGATTTCGGTCGACTGCAGCATTTGCAAAGCTTGTGCACCGCCAACTTGTAGTCAACAAATATTTTCTAAATCTTTTCATGTTTTTAATCAAGGTGCTCACATGATTTGATGCACTTTGCGATTTAAGACTCGGTTTATCACAATATAGATCTTGATTATCAATCAGATTGTCTTGACTGGGCGCCACCTTTTTGTTTGAAATAAATGCAAGTGATACGAGAGGTTGAATCTGATTGGTTAGTAGGAGACGCATAGAAAGGACATAACCACTGGTGGCGCTACGATCGAGCCCTGGAATTCCAGCCTAGTTTGGCAAGGGTGGAAACTGGACTTTTAAAGAAAGTTAACTCCTTGCTTCGGGAAGATGAACCTGCCTAGCAGTCATGGCTGCCCGCCAGTCACAGCTCCCCACTGTGATAGGCACCAAGTTGACCTAGTATCTGACGGACCATTATGTTTACAAACAAGTGATGACTTTCATGACACCTACTTCTCTTTCCCAGGCTAATTTCTGTTCTTTGTCAATTTGAATTTCTATTTTATTTCAACTATCATGTAATTAGCATGATTAGTAGAGCAGGAACACAAGAGGGAAGAGAGTGCTTTTCTGTTAGTCTGCATTCTCGAACCAATATGATTCAACGAACAATATGTAAACTAATGTGTCAAACAGTAAGTTGTGAAACTTTTCAAATTTCACTATGATGGCATTTCCAAAAGTATACAAAAAATATAAATGTCCTTACATTTATGGTTAGAGACAAATTTCAAGATTCTTGTAATGGCCGCGTCCACACTGTTGGCAGCCTTTTAGCAGCTTACTTTATTTACTCGGAGACAATATTTATGGCCCTACTAGGAGTGATGTATGAATGATTGTCCTCCAGACTGATATAGTATTCAAGCATTGGTTGCTGGGTCCTATTCTAACCTAGAATCCCCATGGAGCCTGACATCACAAATATGTCATGTCTGCTAAAACAAGTGAGTGAGTGAGTGAGTGAGTGAGTATGACACCAGAAATGGGCTTCACACATTGTACCCATGTGGGGAATCGAACTATGGCCTTCAGCATGACGAGCTAATGCTTTAACCACTAGGCTATCCCACCATCCCTGCTAAAAGTGTTAAAGTAAAGTAATTTTTCTATTTTCAGTTTGGTTTACCAAGCTTAGAAAGCTAAAACAACTAACCGAGGAAGGTGTTTATAATGAAGCATTGATGGAATGAAGACAAAGACCAGCTTCAGGCTAATTCCCATCGCAGCTATGTACTTGATTGGATGGGCCACAAAACATCCAAGTCCGGGACCTATGCAAACTCTTGTATCTATCACATGAAAAGGAAAGGGTCTCATACAGGATTAAGTTTCATGAGTGCGACCAACTGGAATTAATTGATTGGTTTGATGAAATGACTTCAGGTAAATGGTTTGTTGGCCTTTCTTTGCTCATGACAAAAGAATTGTGTTCATAAATATTTTCTCTGTCATTTCTGTACCATGTAACTCTAACCACACTATATTCATATGTCGACATTCAAATTATTCCAAGTGTTCATGTTTTACAGTGTTTCTTTTTATTGACTCATGAAGAAGGATATTGATTAATTTTTACTTTTCACACCTGTTTTAATTGTTAATCATTCTTATTTAACCGTCTCACTTTTTAACTACCAGTATGTCTAAAACAGATCCTTGTTTATGTGCTTTTTATGAATGTTTTTAATTCAGCTCCCCTTTCTCCAAGCTGTCTCAACCAGAAATGAAATGAATCGATATTGTGTTGAGTTCTGCTCACATGACTATCACATGACTATCACATGAAAGATGACTATCACATGACACAGCCTGGTTGCAGGCATTTGTGTCACCACGCCCCGTTCCACAAAGCGATCTTTGCGCTAAGATGATCATAACTCCCATACTTTAACATAGGCCAAAGACAATCATAGTGTTAAGATCGCTTTGTTTGTTTGTTTGTTGTTTAACTCCGTTCTCAGCAATATTCCAGATATATGATGGTGGTCTGTACATAATCGAGTCTGGACCATACAATCCAGTGATTGACATCATGAGCATCGATCCATGCATTGGGGATACGATGGCATGCATCAACCAAGTCAGCGAGCCAGACCACCTGATCCTGTTAGTAGCCTCTAACGACAAGCATAGAAGGCTTTAACGGCAAGCTTGGGTTGCTGAAGACCTATTGTACCCCGGATCTTCACGGGTCTAAGATCGCTTTGTATACCTTTGTGGGGGTATACCTACTTCACATTAAGAATTGTGGTAGGAACTACATGCAGCAGGACATGGCAGAACATAGGTCATGATGGAATTCTGTGATGTCACTAGTGCTGTGGTGTCCGAGGAATTTTGTGTAAAAGTCCTCATATTGTTAGAACTCAATTAAACTAGGGGGGCGGTCGGGTAGCCTAGTGGTTAAAGCGTTTGCTCGTCACGCCGAAGACCCGGGTTCGATTACCGACATGGGTACAATGTGTGAAGCCCATTTCTGGTGTCCCCCGCCGTGATATTGCTGGAATATTGCTAAAAGCGGCGTAAAACCATATTCACTCACTCACTCACTCACTCAATTAAACTAGGTGTTATTTCATACATACTAACTGCAGTATTGGCAGTGATCGAAATTAGACTTAACTATATTGAAACTGCCTATTGTAGAAAAAGTTAGAAATCTATACCCGTGAACATATTTCACAGGTCAGAAAAAATAAGTATATCTGTCCATCCAGTGTACATTCTTTAATGAATATCATCAACATTAGGATCAAAGATATTCCAACATGGTGCTTTCTGTAAGTATTTGTCCATTTCATGTATATATGCATTGTTATTTAACCAAAATGCTTGTGATCATGTGACTTTGTGTTCTGACATTTTGTTTAACATGTACCGGTATAACAGTGCTGTTAATTTATCATATTGTATTTGTTGTATGTTGTATGATTGATCTACAGCAGATGATTATTGATCGTTGATGATGTTGACAATATACAATATACCGTTGTATGAGCTGTTGTGCAGGCTGAGATTGAGCTTGTGTTGAGTCATATGTTCTTGATTTTATTGTTTGATGATCAATGGCTTTGATCTGATAACCAATTTGTGTATCATAATATTTTTTTTGTATTTAGTTGACATTTGACACTGTTGTCAGGGCATAATTTTATTTAATTTTTGCCCTTTGGATTTTACTGACCTGAATGAAAAACCACAGTCAAAATAGAATAGAGAAATTAATTTTGTTTTATTTACTGGGCTGCTATACCTTTGAAAAGTTAAAAAAAACAAGAACTTTAACATAATAATTTATCAAATGCATTTTGAATATATTAAATTTGGCCACTTCAAACCACACATCCATATCCGGTTATCTAGGTCTGTGCTTAGACTAACATCTAGTCTCTGTAGTGAATATATACTCAAAAACAAAAGTTCCTGTGACACCAATATTTTAGTGTCACAAAAACGCAACTGCTTTAGAAAAGCATGCATTCCATGTAAAAGTTGACTTTTATGCAAGCCCCATGCATTTCACTACCCAAGAATGGGTATAAAAACATGTGCGTTAACGGGATTCCATATGCATTGTTTAGCATCGTGCTGACAACAACCACTCAGAAAAACAACAAAATTATGCAATTATTCAACATTACGAAATGCAACACCTGTCCGAAAATGAGCGTCTGCAAGCCATGGTATTCTTGAACCAGGATCGAGTCAACGTGGTGTTGCAAGACAATTTAATGTCCACAGAAACACAATTTGGTGTTTATGGCAACGTTGGCAAAGACGAATGCAGTCAGAGACCATCCTCGGATGTTCTACCGTTTTTGCGTCGTCATGGCCCAGGCATTGCCTTTCAACATGACAACGTCCGGCCTCATATTGCTCGACTTTTTCAGGATTCTCTTCAACAAAACAACGTGAATGTCATCCCCTGGCCGGCTCGCTCCCCTGATCTCTCACCAATCGAGCACATGTGGGATGAGATGGATCGGCGCCTTCGACGTCAACCACATGTTCCACAGACACTCCAGGAACTTCGAAACATGCTCCAGCAGATATGGACAGATATCCCACAGGACTTTGTGCGACGCCTGGTCCATTCCATGAGACGAAGATGTGTTGCTTGCATCGCAACCAGAGGTGGACACACACGCTATTGATTTGTAAATTGACATTTTGGCATGTTTATGATTTTTATGAAATCACACATTTTCTGAAGTCAGTATGGCAAATTAAACCATTTGAACACTTACAGGAGTCTTTTATCTGTTGCAAACCGAAATTTTTCAGATTTGGTAAAAAACATAACTTTGCATTAAATCTTATTCAATGTCACAGGAACTTTTGTTGTTCAGTATATTTTACCGAAAAAACAGTTGTTAACTTACCCCCGTTATAGTTATAAAACATAATAAGAAGGAGCCCAGAGACTTTCTTTATTTTCAGATACTGCAGTAATCTAGACTTGCCAAACAGAATAGACTTGCATGGGCTGTATAAGATATATTTGTTTCAGGGTCTGTATGACAGACTAGTCTGTGGTTAGCCCAATGTTTTATTACCCTATATAATAACCACATCAGTTGACACATCTGTCATATTGAAGAGTATTACATCTTTTATGAATTCCTTGCTCAGGAACACCGACCTCTGTCTTCAATACACTCCCCCAAATACTCCATCAAAGTGACTTAAGAGACTGACAGCACTAAATGTGTATCAAACACTTACAATATTTTGGTATACAAGAAACAATATATGTTCAATATATTTTTGGGATTTATCTTTTCATTATTATGAGAAATACTTAATTGTGTGTCAGACACTGGCAATATTTTAAATCAAGAACAGATTTTTGCTTGTATTATTTTCAGACTTATCAGTTCATTATTATGAGAAATATATTTCCTATTATGAGTCAGTAGAAGATTATTTCTTGCTATCTTAATATGTACCCTATTTTCTGGTGTATAATCATGATAATGCACACTTCTTTCCCAAATAGCCAGCTGCGGAGAGTGCTGTGTGAATTATACAGATATGCACCAGAAAAAGCATGTACTGCCTTATGCTGGTTGGAGCTGCTATGAGGCTGTCTGGTTATAAACTTTATTCTGTGTATTTCTACCATTATGTTTTTTCTCAATTCCATTAATTGTATGCAAACTATCACTCAGGATTGTGTTCCTAAACTTGGCGATATGTGTGTGAAATGATATACAGCTTGAACCAACTCACCGGTGTTCTCAGTAGCCATGATGACAGGGCTTGGACGAGTCCAAATTTACTACCTGGGGACGCACCCCCCTATTACCCTACCCTACTCAACAACAGATTTTTGCTTGTATTATTTTCAGACTTACCAGTTCATTATTATGAGAAATATAATTTCTAGTATGAGTCAGTAGAAGTTTATTTCTTGCTATCTTTGCCAATATGCCTCACAGCAGCTGGGAATTAGTAAAAGCTGTTAATTATTAGAAGGCGGACAGTGTAATTTTAATAACATACTAGTAATTATGAGGTATTATCTTCAAGTATTGTTGATATATAGATATAATATGTATATATAAGCTATGTGTGTGTATATATAAGCTGTTTATTATGTTTCGGGTACCCACTGTAGGTCTCAGGAGATACAAATTGTCCGATTGGGATTTTTTTTTACAACAGCGCTTGCAAAACGTATTTAGATACATGTATTAAACAATCTGATCATGCACACACCGAAGTAGACTTACTGATAAGTTATATCTTTATTCAACCATATGAAAAGTCAGAAGGAATGGGTCCAGAGTCAGAAAGAAATGCAAACATTAGTGACTTGTAGTGTAACCATATAGTTCTAGATAGTTTTTGTCATTAAACTATATATCACATGACTAACCACGGGTCCGGGTAGTACAGTGGGTACCTGGGTTCTACTCAATACCCACCTGACCCGGGTACCCAAGATACCCGTCCCAACCCTACATGATGAGATTACTACTATTATTGCCTTGGTAGTTGAGAATGCTTGCTAAACAACTTCCTGCGGATAACTTCACTGGTAACAACTTTTATTACCAACCACTTTTAGGTACGCGGGATAAGAGCCCTGTTGATTACATTTTCTGGATGCTGCACTGCAGCGGCTGGATGCCATGAAATATTTATCTGTAAGTGCATGCCAATATTTCAGTGTTAAAGTATAGTTTTCGTTGTTTTATTCTTGCAACGAGTAACCAATAAATCAAAACATCATCTTCAATCTAATGAACATGCATGGTCAGTCATATATTCGAAATTCCAGTCTAATGCCAGCTGTGTATGCTGATATCACTCAAGAGTTTATAAATTGGATGCCATAACAAATTACGTGGTATGCCAGATGCCTAGAGAGAGAGTTGACACCCTCTTCTGTCTCACGCCAAGGTATCCAGCAGTTTTCACAAATTGCTTGTGTGGAGAATTTGCATAACAAAAACAGTGCACTAAAATGTTGGTATACATTTATGAATCAAGATGTTGTACCGTTAGAAAGAGAATGTTAAGTCATTAAGGCCATGTGTTACTCTTGGTCTTCCAGTCCTGCGGTATGACTTAATGACCATCTTTAATTACATTTGAATGTTACCCAGTATTATCATAACTTTATCTGTTATTGCTTTGAGATATGACTTAATATTTAAGCTTTAAAGATTGAAATCCCTTTTTCGTAACAGATAAACATGCGATACATCTAAGATCTATCAACAATAGGCATGTTCTCTCATTTCCCCCTTTCCTGGGCACATATAGTTGCCCTCCTACCTCCTACTACAGAAAACTTTCAGGTTACTAGCAAAAGATGTCATGCTGTATTTCTCCATGGGGTTTCTGCAGAAAAAACGCAATACCCAATTCTTGTAATAAAAGC